ATTGAGATATGATGTTGTAGGATGATTTTCTATTAATATATGTCAATGTATTTTCATATATTTTATTGTATTCATTGTCTTTTTTTTCATTGTAATTCAATGTATCTCGTTGTATTCCATGTATTTCATTGTATTCACTGTCTTTTTTTCTCATTGTATTTCAGTGTATCCCGCTGTATTCTATGTATTTCATTGTATTCACTGTCTCGCTATATGCCATGAATGTATTCATAAGTTTTTTTTAATTAATATAATTTATGTATTCATATGTATTATATAATTTTTCTGAAGATTGCTATGTTTTTGGGGTATTTTTCGGTTGAGAATCTTTTTTATAACTGAAAATACAAATTTTGTGTGTTGTAATTGAGTTTGTTGAGTTATATTAGGAGTCTATTATGTTAATTGATTCACTTTCCCTTATAAAGACAGTGTCATCCCCTATTTCACACCGTGAATACAGTTGAATACAATAATCTATCCAGTTGTAATCCCATGTTTCACTCCATGAATACAGCCGAATACAATAACTGATTAGCTGGACTTCCCTGATTCACGCCTATTTTTGCTACTGTATTCATGAATACAATAGCTTAAATACATCAAATACATCTTATAACCATATAAAAGGTATCTATAATCCGTAATATAGCAAATGGTATCTATAAATGGCTAATTACTACTAAAAGATAGTGCTTTATGATAATTTCCCTACAGACAACACCCAGTGGTCACTTGGCCCAACAAAAGTTGAACCCTTGAAATGATGAAGTCCACAATAGGTTCAGCTAGGGTCTTGGCCTGCCAATGAGCCCAAACTTCTTGGGTTGGCCATGCACCAAAATGCCAAGAAAGCACAATCCTTATTTCTTCGTGGAAATGATACTAGGTAGTCACTTTTAAGCATGTTATTTAAAATATATTCACAATTTATAATGTATATAAAAATTAGCTAATTTGCTCAAACTTCAAGATACGACGTCCTGAAGTTTAAACCTCGAAGTTCAAACTTTAGGACATCGTGTCCTGAAGTTCGAAAATTGTGTACAGAAATTCGAATTTTATGTTCTGACCTTTAAATTAGTAGTTCAGAAATTATAATACTTAGTCCTGAATTTCAAATTAGCATTTTAGAAATTCAGGATACTTAATCTTAAATTTCAAATTAGTAGCTCAAATATTTAGGACACTAAGTCATAAATTTCAAATTAGCAACCTAAAAATTTAGAGATACAAAAAATTCAAGATACTTAGTACTAAAGCTTTGGTGAATTGACTAATCTTTAAATATATTATAAATTATGGATATATTTTAAATAGCATGCTTAAAAATAGTTACTGTTGCACTTCACCCTATTTCTTCTCTGGGCTCAAACATTCTACAAAACTACAACCAGCCCAAGAGGCCAGCTGATCAATTGATCATTCTCTCATACAGATGAAAAAGAATTTTCAGTAATATTAGTGGGAGATGTTATATGGTCTTTTTTCATAGAAATTAGTAAACTGTAATATGGAAAATCACCAAATGAAAACATGAGATCATTGTAGAGTCATTTTTCCTTCACAAGGCAATTGATACTCCTAGGCCGAAATTATGCAGCTTGGTAATTTTTTTTCTTTATGTATATATACTATATGTTAAATTTCTTTAACCTTTTAATTTGTTTATTTCTTTATATTTTATATTTGATTCTCCCTAATGACAATCCTGACTCCTCCGCTAGCACAAGAAGGAGGCCACGCTATTTATATTGGCTTGTTTTACTTCAGCAATTTTCTTAGTATAATGTATAATTTGCTTCCATATAAAGTTCAATATGCTGATATTTTTAATCGTATTTCTATTGTGCTCTTTCCATATTTACCACATGATTGAAAACACAAGTTTAGCATTAGAAGAACTCAAGAAGTGCGATACACTGCTAGTCAACAAAACTAATGAAACTGTGCTTAATTCCCATTTTATAAATGAAGAGAAGGCTAAACTCTTCTTGCTTCTAAAAGGACACTTGCTTTTGTCAGGGACAGAGCTAGAAGTTTAAATATGGGTTCGATCCAATCCAATAGCTTTTGTTTAAATATTGTATTTGTGTTACGGAGTTTTACGGACACCATTTTTAAAGAACATAAGACTGAAACTGAAAAAATGGCAGTCCGTTCACTCTTAGAGGTGGCCCTTGAGTTCAGTTGCTTTTGGTTTAATATGGTATTGATAGCAATAGTTGTTTTTCCAGTTTGTCGTCGGTCCTCGATTATAAATTCTCGTTGACCACGACCTATAGGAACCAGACTATCTACCGCTTTTAACCCTCTTTGCATAGGCTCGTGCACAGATTTACGTTCAATAATACTAGGTGCTTTCACTTCGACATGTCTTCGCTTGTTTGCACAAGGCATCCCGCATTCATGCAGAATTTGAAAAAAATTCGTACCTCAAAGGATGTAACGTAGACCACCTGCCCTAAAAAAGGACTGAAAAAGAGAACACTTCCAAAATTTCCAGCTTTGTTTTAGTAGCTACTAGCTAGGTCATGTGAGAGACATTTGTATAACATGAATTACAATGAATATTTTCTTGAATAAGTTTGTCTTCTTCCTCTCAAAGAACCATTATCACATGGACCAATTAGCTGTAGAAAAATTAGACCCACTAAACTTGATGAGATAATAAAACTACAAACTTTTAATGAACCAATAATAGAGGTTTAATGGCCCCTTCAATAATTTAATGCCCTCTACCCCTCTCTCTATGGTATAATTTTTGTACATGTAGACAAATATTTCATATTCATTGACCCTATAGGTGTCTAATATGTTTATCCTATATAGCTAATTTCAGTTTCTTTAATGCTCTTTCAATTAGTGATGTTTTATATTAGTAATTTGAGGAGGGGTGATAAAACAATCCTTGCTTTATCAAATATGTTAAGCTATGGGGTCCACTTCCAATCAAACTTTTTTTTAATTTTATTTTTCCAATCATACAATTAAACTTACCTTTTTGTGTTCTAACTGTATAAAAAAAAGTGAGATTCAACCTACAACTTCTAAGGCAATGATGGAGTAACTCATAACTATTTAAATCTCATTGGGAACCCATGAAGAGGGATAAGTATAACATTCTTTAATACCCTCTCGTACTTGGAAGCGGATCCAAAATTTAAACTCTATGAATTTAATTTTTAAGGTTTTTAATATTGAACCTATTATATTTTTAAAGTTATCGGTTCACATAAGTTTTATACTCCATTTCAGAAGTTATGGATCTTTAGCCGATGGTCTATCGGAAACAACTTCTCTGCCCTTCCAGGATAAAGGTAAGGCTCCTTACATCTTACTCCCCTCATACTTCACTTATGAAAATTTACTGAATTTGTTGTTATTGTTCAACAGTTATGGGTTCAATTGAATCTGTCACTATAATACTACATCCGTTCCGGCTCATATGTATGTATAACCTAATTTTCAAGATTTAAACCTGAATATTTAAAAAAAAATTCCCCTTTTTGACCACGACAGGGAGGGACAGGAGAGACTACTTCAAGTAAAACTTTGGACTTTGAACAATTGAATTTGGTGCTATAAGACGAAAATAACCAACGGCGCACCAAAAAGAAAATTATTAAATATCTTAAAATGGTATATATAATTGATTATTCTTATATAATATATCATACTGATAACACTTTGACTGTATACAAGACTAGAAGTGTAGCTAGTTACATCTTTTTTACTTAAGTGACGATTATCTCTTTGGTCATATTTGAAACATGTGGTCTAACATGCTTAGTAATATTATGTTACGTGTCCTATTAGTGAATAACGAATAATCCTCCAAACTAAAAGGGTGAGTCGGTCTGACTCAAGCGAGTGAGCGAAAGGCATGGCAAGAGAGAGTTCTACTCGCGAACGATCGAACGACCAGCAAGTGATCAAGGACCGATCCTTTTGCGCTAATACTGTTGCGAGACCGGTACTTGACGGCTCACAAGCAACATATAGTCTAAGGTTGTCTATCACGCCCTCACTCTTTTTTTTGCAGGCATTTTCAATTCTCTTTCTAGTATGGTTCCTCCGAACTATAAATTATTTATTATCATCACTCATATGAGATCGTACGATATCTACTGTAGAAAGGTGTCTCCGCCACTATAAGTATAAGTTTTTTTTTTTTTAAAAGAATATTCACATCCCATGAAGCTCGTGGATATTCTTTTTAAAGTCTCATATTTATAAGCTATTTCTCTCTTATTATTCACTTTGATCTGAATTACTTCACACTTTTTATATGGTCACATGAAATAGATGCTCTCACTGTACCTAACAACTAATATCACATGAAGTCTCTTAAATATGTTGGAGATTTTGTCTCTCTAATTGTACATACTTTTTAGTTCCACATCACATGTCAAATTCCCTACTTAGACAGTTAGACTGCTTTTCATTTAGAAGTGTCTTCGCCTTTTGCTTTGTCCCAAGAGACCGATGGAGTTTCCAACCATATGTTTAAATTAAATCCAGTATTTTTGACACACAGAATATACAATAACAACAACAATAAATTCAGTATAATCTTATAAGCGAGGTCTGGGGATGGTAGTGTGTATGCAGACCTTACCCCTACATTATTAACATAAAGAAGTTATTTCTGATAGATCTTCGGCTCAAGTAACTGGACACACAGTATATAAACACAATAATAATAACATATCTAATGTAATCCTACAAGGGAGTACTCTAGGAAAAGTGAAGTATACGCAGACCTAATTACCCCTACCTTGTGTGAGGTAGAGAGGCTGTTTTCGGACACACAGAATATAAACACAGGGTATGAATATATACGTGAAAATTGTTATACTTTAACAAATATTAAATTTTGCACCCATAATTTTAAAAGTATAACAAGACCATTGTTAGGACTATTAAATATTAAAAAATTTAAATTTAAATTCTGGATCCGTCTATATTTGTTCCCCCATCTTAACTACTACCTTCTACTTTATCTTCCCTACAAAAATGGTTGTGTAGTCAAGGGTCCAGACTCTCTTCTCTTCCCCACTAGTTTCATTGGTCTTATTTAAACCTTTTAATTTCTTTCCCAAATGAACTAGAATTAATCTTTTGATTGCCATAGAAAGAGAAGAGGTGATATATATATACATATATATGGGCAAAGATTTGCTATTCTAGAATGGGGAAGCTAAGTTTTGGCAAAGTTTTAGACTGTTTTAGTACTCTTTCTTCTTCAGGATCAGGATCTTGTTTTTGCATCAATGATTTTGGAAATCATGATGATTTGTTAGAAAGAAAGCCACTGATGAATAATTCCTCAGAAGATGAACATTTGGTGAGACTTAAGGATATCATTAATGTGGGACCTCCAACTTTAGCTTTCCATTTGAAGCCTAAGGTATGTTTTTCAATTCCAAATCTTCATGTTCCTCCACCTAAGTGTAAGATCATCTCACTTTGATAGTCAAGTTGCTGTCTCCTTATATAATCTTGGATAATTTTTACGTTATAAGCTAGCTTTCGGATTGAATTAGACGTACAGTCTTATTTTAATACATAACTTGTTCACTCTCGATCAATATGGGACAATCTAACCGGAAAAATGTTTGGCGATTTTCTTTTGAGTTAGTTTGGATACTATTTGTGTATATGATTTGTTTGAGATTAAATGGAATTTCCTCCACCTCAGTGTGAGATTATCCCACTTTGGTAGTCAGCATGTTGTCTCCTTATATAATCTTTGATAATTTTCAGTTTATAGCTAGCTTTTGGATTGAAAGACGTACGGTCCTATTTTAATACACAACTTGTTCACTCTCAATCAATATGGGACAATCTAACTGGGAAAATGTTTGACGATTTTCTTTTGAGTTAGTTTGGACACTATTTGTGTATAAGATTTTTTTGAGACGAAAAGGAATTTCCTCCACCAAAGTGTGAGATCATCCTAGTTTGGTAGTCAAACTGTTATCTCCTTATAAAATCTTGGATAATTTTCATTTTATGAGCTAGCTTTCGAGTTGAATTAGGTGTACAGTCCTATTTTAATACACAACTTGTTCACTCTCGATCAATATGGGACAATCTAACCGAAAAATGTTTGAGGATATTCTTTTGAGCTAGTTTGGACTGTATTTGTGTATATGATTTGTTTGAGATTAAATGGAATTTCCTCCACCCAAGTGTGAGATCACCCCACTTTGGTAATCAAAATGTTGTCTCCTTATATAATATTGGATAGTTTTTATTTTATGAGCTAACTTTCGGATTGAATTAAGACGAATAGTCCTATTTTAATACACGACGTGTTCACTCTCAATCAATATGGAACAATCTAACCGAAAGAATATTTGAGGATTTTCTTTTGAGATAGTTTGGACAGTATTTGTGTATGTGATTTGATTGAGAATTAAGGGAATTTTCATCTTAAGAAAGTGAAATATGAATGTGTGAAGCCTTATTATTGAACTTTGTAAATATTTGGTGTAGGTTGTGGTGCTAAGAGTGTCCATACATTGCAATGGTTGCGCAAGGAAAGTTGAGAAACACGTCTCCAAAATGGAAGGTATTGTCAAGTCACTTGCTCATAATTGACCTCATAATTGATTTATGCAAAGAAAGGTCATTATCTTAACAATAATAGCTTCTATGATTTAACTTATTTATGTATACTGATTTGACAATACATATATTTTTTTATTTGAGTTTAAATTAAATCACTACAAAAAAAAAAATAGAATTAACTACGAGCTTTGTCACTAATATGTTGCTTAATCGCTTGTAGCTAACCGAATCTCTTGATAATCTGTCATAAATAGGATTACTGATGATTTTTTTTATTTAGCTACAGCATTTGACAGTCGGTAATTTCTATCTTTTTAGTAGTGAATGAGTAGTGTGTATGTATATATATATATATATAGAGAGAGACATAATTGTTGTATCGTATTTGTTTTTACATCACCAAATTAGGTTTATTATAGACAATTATCTATTATTGTACGTCATTTTAATTCGACGGTATAAATAATTTTTACACTACAGAAAATAAGCTCTAACTTCTGAGTCACTTCTTATTTATATAAGATGTTGCCCATAAGGCAACATTTATTGCAATTTTGATGTACCAAAATTTTCTGAACCGAAGATTTATCGAAAATAACCTTTTTACCTTTTATACTGAGCTTGTACCTAGTGGTAATTCTAAATGATGTTACTAATGAAATTCATGTCAAACAGGGGTGACAATGTACCAAGTAGACCTTGAAACCAAGAAAGTGGTTGTTATTGGAGACATATTGCCTTTCCAAGTTTTGGAGAGCATTTCAAAAGTAGTCAAAAATGCTGAGCTTTCAAGTTGGAACACTCCACATGATGACTCGTTATAATGTGGAACCTACTCTATATTGAATTCATACAAGTATTAGAGGAAAAGAAATTCATTATTCTCAACGTGACTTCTTATTCACTAGTACTATTTTCTTTTTCAAATCTGCTTTGAAATGTTGTCCTGTAGTCGAGGGTTTATTGGAGACAACCCCTCTATCTTCACAAGGTAGGGCTAAAGTTTGCGTACACATTATCCTCCCCGAAATCTCACTTGTAAAATACGCTGTATATGTTGTTGTATTAGTGGAAAAGGAGGAGGAGATAAAAGAAGAAGAAGAAAAAGAGCTAAAAGTGATTATGATTAAAGAAAAAGGCTATATATGCAATAGTGCAACCACATGTATTCTGTATCTTCAGCATAGAAATGAAATGAAGCATCTGTACATTTGGAGTCATTTGTACAGATAAATTGTACTCCAATAAGATGCCATGTGGTTTGTCTTGTATTATCCATTTATTTTATTTAACTTTCTAGATTCAGCTGTATCAGAAGAGATGAACTGCAGCAGCATTTAGTTTAGTACATATATACTAGTCTCTATATTCGTGCGATGCAGAAATACCTTGTGTCAAACATCAAAAGCAATAAACTTTCACTTGCATATATATATTCTAAAATTACTTGCTCCTAAATTTGTGTGAATTTCATAATCGATTAAAACAAAATGAAGAATATGTAAAAAGTCACTCAATATTTGAATTAGAAGGATATGTCTTCGGGGGGAAAGGAATTAATGGCATAATCATAATAATTTACTCATATTTTTGTTTAATCCTACATAAATCTATAGACTATTTTGATATAAACAATAGAAAATAGAATTAGAATCAAAGACTACCTCTTGATTTTGAAGCCTTACGTCTTTAGGGGAAAAAGGAACTAATGGCCTAATTATAATAATTTACTCATATTTTTGTTTAATCCAACATAAATTTATAAATGATTTTGGTATAAACAACAGAAAAAGGAATTATAATTAAAGACTATCTCTTAATTTTGAAGCCGAAAAAAATAGGCTGCTAATTATGTATTCTCCGCTTTTAAACTTGCTCTATTTTTTTTGTTTGTTTTAGTGTAACCACCCGGCCGGTCGTTTTTAGAATTTACGCCCCGATCCCATATTAACTGCTTTCCCCGTATTTATTTCTGCTATTTTGAATTGCCAGGATGTTCGGTTTTGAATTTCGGATAGTTTTGGGACACTTAGTCCCTAAATGAGAGCTTAAGTCTTGAAAATTTGACCATAGTCGGAACAGTGTGAAGACGGCCTCATAATGGAATCCGATGGTTCCGTTAGCTCCGTTGGGTGATTTCGGGCTTGGGGGCATGATCGGATTGTGTTTTGGAGGTCCGTAGCTAATTTAAGCTTGAAATGCCGAAAAATGGATTTTGAAGTTTCCGGTTCGATAGTGAAATTTTTATCCGAGGGTCGGAATGGAATTCCGGAAGTTGGAGTAGCTCCGTAGTGTTGAATGTGACGTGTGTGCAAAATTTCAGGTCATTCGGACGAGGTTCGATAGACTTTTTGATCAAAAGCGTATTTTGAGAAAGTTGGAGTCCTTAGGCTTGAATCCATGGTTAATTTGAGGTTTCGATGTTGTTTTAGGTGTTTTTAGGATTGGTACAAGTTTGGACAGTGGTATTAGACTTGTTGGTGCCTTTGGTTGAGGTCCCTGGGGCCTCGGGATGATTTCGGATGGTTGACGGGGAGTTTGAGGGGTGTGAGCAGCTGCTGAACTTTGTTGCTTCTGGTATTTCCGCACCTGCGGTTTGGGGACCGCAGGTGTGATGCCGCACGTGCGGAAGAGGAGCCGCAGAAGCGAAAATGGGGAGCATCATCAGGAACCGCAGATGCGGTATACTTTCCGCAGAAGCGGTACCGCACCTGCGGGAGGAGGCCGCAGATGCGGAACCTGGGCGTTTAAGTGATGGGTCGCAGGAGCGACTTTTGGTCCGCAAATGTGGGACCGCAGAAGCGGTCCCAAGGCCGCAGATGCGGAAACTGCTGGGCAGTTGATTTAAAAAGGGGGAACTTCATTGAGGTAAGGAATTTGAACTTAAAACTCGTTCCTATGTCATTATTTCACGGATTGGAGCTAGAAATTATGGAAATTTAGGGTGAAAATTTGGGAAAACTAGGGCTTAGTATTGGAGACCTTTGATTGAGGATTTGATGGACCATTTGAGGTTCGATTTTGGTAATTTTGGTATGAATGAACTCGTGAGAGTGTGAGGATTCTGAAAATATAAATTTCACCTGATTCCGAGACGTGGGCCCGAGAGGCGTTTTGGTCATTTTTACCTAATTTCGCATATTTGCCTATAATTTAATTGTAGAACAGTTACTTGAAGTGTTATTTAAATTATAAAATTTAATTGAATATATTTGGGGCATTTGGAGTCGGATACTCGTGGCAAGAACGTGGTTTCGGGTTGATATTTGAGCCGGTTCGAGGTAAATGGCTTGTCTAATCTTGTGTGGGGGACCTTTCCCCGTAGGATTGATATTGTGATAATTGAAATGCCTTGTACGTGAGGTGACGGGCGCGTGCTTGTGCTAATTGTTGGAAATCCGGTTTTTATTTCATTAAAAATAGCCTTGAATTGTGTTCTTCTTTTCTTGCTTACACTACTTGGAAATTTATCCTGCTGTTAGAGTAGAGAAGCATGTCTACTTGACTAAATTGTTCTATTTGACTTAACTGCCTTATTTGTATTACGTGAAGCATGCTAGGTTAGAATTATTTGTCTGACTTTGGTATGAAATTGATTGAATTGAGTTCTTGTTGCTACCGTGTATTTACTTTGGGACTACGGGACGGTATCCCGGGAGCTCCCCTGTATGCTTGCTTTGGGACTACGGAATTGCATTCCGGGAGATTCCCCTGCACTTTTACATTGGAACTACGGGATTGCACCCGGTAGATTTCCCAGTACTAAGTATTTATATTTGGGACTACGGATGTGGTATTCCCAGTGAGTAAACAGAATTCCATACTCGATCTCATAGATACATATAGAATTCTGCGGAAAGCCGTATTCGATGAAAGTCGTATGTACGGCTTGGAGGGAGATCTTTCATATCTTTCGAGATCCACCCTACAATATGGGGTAAAAAAGCCAAAATAAGTGATTTTAGCCCTTATAAAAAGAAAACTGATTCTTGAACCCCTTTCACGCTCATGTCACGTCGAGGTACTGCAGAAAAAAAAACAGCAAAATCCGATCCAATTTATCGTAATCGATTAGTTAACATGTTGGTTAACCGTATTCTGAAACACGGAAAAAAATCATTGGCTTATCAAATTATCTATCGAGC